CGGATGACTGACGTAAATAGGAACTCCGATCGGGGCAGCGCTTCTTCACGGTACTCATTTTGTATTCAGGGTATTACACGCTGCCAGACGCGAGCAAAGTGATTCTTTTGAACGGTAACGGGGAGCGCGCCCGGCCCGAGATGCTCCTAATTCATACGCTTTTTCTTCCCGCACGGCCGATCCTCGCCGTTGTTGTTAATGCTATTGCACGCCCTCGGCTTCGTCGCCGATTCAAATCCCGGAACGACCAAAGTCAACGCAACGTGAAACTCGATGTAATCTCGCCGTCTTCGTCATCGGGAAAAGATGAGCCGTCAGCGATTTCAGAATACCTAATGGTTACCCTTCGAAATAAGGGCTGGATGAAAATGCGAAGCATAAAGAAACGCGTGAAACTGTTTGACGATATTCATCCGAGTCGAATCGTTCGGTTAGTTCGTTACGGCTTTAATTGGACGAAATCGGACACCTGCGATTTTTACGTCGAGAGATCTCCCGATTACACAATGTTATTTTCATTCGTCTCTTTGAATTATAACACGACTTGAGAAGGAATAGCCGTCTAAATTTTGCGTCGCGAAAACGATAATTTATAAGTAATAGTAAAAAACGTAGCATGTTCGAAAATTGAAGAACATCATAAATGGCTGACATATTTATGGCATTATGAACTTAACATTATACGAGATCAGATATACAGTGTTAAATTCATTATGTCAAATTATATCCAATTTGAGTTATCTTTAATCATTTCTGTAGGCGCCATTACTTCTCTATTGAATGTTGTTAATTTAACTAAAATATGTAGTTCAATTAAGATAAACTAAAATAAACAATCACAGAAATGAGTTGATTAGATATAGTTGGTTTTTTAACTACATGTTCGTATTAAAATAATACATTTCGATGCACTTGGAAATTAAATAACAAAACATTAATTTAAAGAATTTATTTAAATTTGATTTTTTAATATTTAACAATGCAAGAGCGTTTTAAATTATACAAGTAATTATTAAAGTTCCATCCGAGGAAATATTTATTTGGAAAATCAACCGTTTATTTACAAATGTTTTATTTGGTTGATTTTAAAGGAATGTGAGGAATTGACTCAGTTAATTCCTCCTACATTGTTAGGTATCAAAGGAACAATGGTAATTCAATCACTTCATTTAAATAATATTTTATTATTTTTAATTTCCATGTGTATCAAAATATAAATCAATTCATTTCTGTTGTAAAATTGTTTAGTTTCAAAGTAAACAATATCCATGCATTTAATAAATAATTTTTAGTTAAAATTTAATACATTTTTTTAGTTAATTGTCTAATTCCTTTGTCTTAATTAAATTAATTATATATGGAATAGGAACAACCTATAAGAATGATTAAAAATAACTTAAATTGAATATAATTTGACATTGTGACTTTAACAATGTATCTCTCTATAGACATAATGATATTCTTTTTAAATGCAAATGTAATCTCCATTGTAAAATCACTCATACATCAACATTTCATTTTCTTGTATGACTTTACACTATCCGTCGAGTTTACAGTTAGTTTGGTTTAATTTGCAGCTGGTGCTGAATTCCATGCACAAGTACCAACCGAGGATCCACCTGGTGAAGCGACCAGACTCGGGCACGACGAAGCCGATCATGGACCTCGAGAAGGAGCCGCACAAGACCTTCATATTCCCGGAGGCCATATTCACCGCTGTCACCGCCTATCAGAATCAGCTCGTAAGTTTCACTTTGTTTCTCGCTACCGTTGTGCACTTCTGCCTTTCTTTTTGCCCGTTCGCTCTCTTTCTCGCGCCCCGCACGCTTCGTCTTTTCTTAGCACGGCCCGTAACGTCTGTCCGATCGTTCGGTCGCCTCCGGTCCTCCGCGTCTCACCACGTCTCGGCCGCACGGGACTGGTTCCTCCATTTCGCCTGCCGCGGCTCTCTTTCATCCTCGATAATCGTTTCTGTCGAGAACGAGCGACCGTGCAAAGACACTGGCGTAACACCTCGCGGATACGTCAACGTTAACGAGTGCTGTGGATATGCTACTCTAGCGTATCGAGAGTGCCGTGAATACGCTATTTACTTATTGAGAGAATCATTCGTTTCTTTCTTATTTTGTGTATTAAAAATATTACATGGAATATTTTATAATTTTTATTATCTTTTTTTGTAATCTGCACGGAACAAAAAATAATATTGTATCAACAGCATTATTTTAATTGAAAATTTTGTTAATTCAATAACACTATTAATGATACAAATACGTCATGCTCTTGTTTTAATAAAATTTTATTTGTCTTTTAATATACTGTTGTTTTAATAAGATTATTTTCAATTAAAATAATACTGTTGATACAACATCATTTTTTTCAGTGTGTATATTACGTACTTAATATTTTCCCGTTGTGATTTAACCCTTTGATAATGATTTTCTATTTTAAAACTTATATAAAAATGTATTTTCCAACTCAAAAAGGGTTTTTCAAAAGTAATAAATCGAAAAATATTACAAAAATAACATTTAATCTTGTTAAGAATATATTCTTTTTACTAATAATGAATTTGATTAATCCAAAACTTTTTGTCAAATTGAAAAACAGTTTTTCTAATTTTGTAAGAATCTTACAATTTTTTTAGTCACGTCACTTTTAAAGTAAGAGAGCGATATTCTCTCGAAATTTATTAAGTAGTAGGTGACACAGAACAAGTTAGCAAATGTATATACTAGGAACGCGATACTCCTTAAATAGTCGTCATTGTTAGAGCGCATGCAACTACCAAAAAGCACACTTGCAACAGTCGAAACGATCGTAAGGAAAACACCGCGTGTGCCAGTGGTAGTCTCGACCTCTCGGCGAGCCGTCTTCCGTGTCCAAGTTCAGATTCCGTGTTCAGCGCACGAGAACGACGGGGCATTATCGTATTTCACGATAGTCATTTAAAGCCGACCGCGGCGTCATGTGTGGTCCAGGTCAGCGTCGTTCGCATTCCATGAGCGTCGCGGCGCGTCTCGTTCCGCCGCTGCCACCGCCATCGCCGCCGCGCCGTCGAGCAGGCTCAGTTTCGTCGTCCCCTCTGTGCCGCAACGGCGGCTGGAATTTCGGACCCCGACGTAGGTAAGATCTATGATCCTCAGAGGCGACAACGGACAACTATCTGGCATCGTTTCCGATGCTTATCCCAGTCCCGTTTAATCGATCTCTCTTCTTGTTGCCGCGAGAAGCAACACGGCGGTCGTGGATCCCCTTGAGGGATGACATGCTTTTCTTTTCAGAGGGAGAACGCATAGCTTGAGTTCGATTCAGGCGAAATTCTTCGCTTTAATTCTTGAAGAGCGATTTGTGACAAATAATTGCGAAGAATAATTCTATGTTGCGATCTGATACTCGTTTCTGTTTCAAAAACAAAAATGTTAAAAAGATATGTTGTAAAAAGATTGCCTTTCTGTTTTACGTAAATAATTTCTCTCTCTTTTGTGTTTTATTTAAATTAGTTATTTCATGCGTGTAACATTTATTTGGAATTTCAAATATTGTATACTTTTTATTATTTTTTCCTATTAAGGAAATATTACGAAGAGTACCTTGGATGCTTTTCGGATAGATAATTTTAACATACACAAAATGTATGTGATGGTAATCTTTAATTAGAATTGTAGGAAACAGTGCGATCCGCCAAATCTAGCGTGACTTGATATAATTAAGTGTCTCGTGCAAGTATATATCGGGTATCCTTCGATCATTATCCGTGTTGTCCGACCATTGCGAAACGCTTCGCCTAGACCGTCGTTTTTGACGAAGCTTTTGACGAAGACAGCACGCTTCGTCTGCCGATGCAGACGAAAACCGACGGCGTCGGTGACTCTAACGGGTGGTCCCAGGAACCCTCGACGACTACGACGACGACGACGACGACGACGAGGGCAACGCGGCTGTTGATGATGATGATGAGGTGCGAAGAGACGCCCCGGCAATTACCTCGGGCCAGTTTCTCTTCCACGGCGTCCTCTCTTTTGTGCCTCTCGCTTTCTACGTCCTCTCGTCTCGTCATTATCGTTCTTTGCGGTTTCCTCGTCGCCTCCGAACTTCTTCCGTCCGTCCGTGTGTCGCCGTTTCTTTTCTCTCTTTACTTCGCATCTTCCTGAAGAGTCGAATGTCGTCGACCGATCGTCATCTCGATCGTCGAGGTTTCTTCAAGATGATAGCCAGCACGTTCTTTCATGCCAATTCGTGCTGAGCGGAAATCATGGCCTGCAGAGAGAAGTTTCATGCAACTTGTTATAACTGTTGGCAGATTTGCCGGAGGATTTCACATTTATATAAAGTTTTTCTTTCGTGTTAGCTTTCTCTAATTTCTTGCGCTTCAATCGGCATTCTCTTCGATTCTTTACTGATTACTAATTAGCACTAATCGGTATTTGCTCCGAAATTTCTTCGACTGATCGTATTCGCAGTCCATTTTAATGGACTTTACTTTAAATTAAAATATTTTTACTTAAAATATTAATATAATTGAATGATTTTTGTAGAATAGAATTATGTAACTTAAAATTAAGTAAACTTGTGAAAAACATTTGTTATAAACAATGGCCTAGTTTCCACCGAGGGTTTAAACTGGATCAGAATGTAAGAACCAACCAACTACAGTCGAGTATTCCCCTGTTACAGTCAAACGACAGCGGAATGCTCGACTGTAGTTGGTTGGTTCTTACATTCTGATCCGGTTTAAACCCTCGGTGGAAACTAGGCCACTGTTTCTCAACATGTAGTTGAAGAAGATTTTTGGGTCTACTGGGCCCACAAATACAAATTAGAGTTAGTAATCTGTGTTAGAAAAATTGTAGAGAAAAGATAGGAGAATACGACAAATTAGCGAGAAGTCCTTGAATTTTCCTGACACATCAGGATGAGCGTTCGCGAACATGGCGGCGCGTGCGAAAGTGCTGTCTCCATGGCTTTTCAACGAGTTCGAAAATAGACGGGGTAGAATGTAAAAGCGGGGTAGAGGGAGAGCAAAGGAAGCAGCGGGCGATCATCGCGAACGTCGACGGTGGGCGCCGCGGTCAAACAAGAGCAAGGAGACGGGGAAGGACAGAGGTGCATCATGGAATGCGCGTTAGTGACGTAGAAATGCAGTCGAGCGCGCGACGGCGGATGTTGCATGGTAGATGGATAGGTAGATACGACTTGTTTAGAATGTGAGACAAGCCCCCCGAGATTCGGTGAAAAAGGAGGCTACAGTTGTTGACAAGATCGGAATCGGCGATATATTAAAAAGACCGCACCGGAGAGATAGTTGATGAGCTTGCAGGGATATACGAGCAGGGATATACTGAAATAGTTGCGGGCAATAAGATAAGACAAGAATATTAATAACATTAATGGAATGCAGGTGGAAAGAATGAATGGTGCCAGCAATTCCGACGCCAACAAAATGGCCAATTTTTTTTCCCCCCCATTTCATTTACATCTGATTAACTCTCTGCGGTTGACGTCAAAATCTATAACACGGATTCTGACACTACATCTGTAAAAACCTACTTAATATATGTTGATTGAAAGGCACAATTAATTTTGGTTACCATAACCAGAAATTCTGTTTAGCCTCACAATATCATTCTGGTTGGGTCTTTTTGTTGGTTTAAACAGAACATTTTTCTCAGTGTACAAAAAGGTTGAGAGGTTCTCATGCAAAACTCAAGTTGCCATGCTCAACGCCGACAAGTCGCGGTTGGTTGCCGATGGCAAACGACCTCAGCACTTTGATACGGACTCCCCATCAGCGCTGGTACATATCCATATGTACAACCTACTGATTTTTGGTACTGAATTCTCCCCGTTCGGTATATACCGGCTCGAAAGCCATTCGTCACGGTTAGCACGTTCCTCGTCACTCGTCGTCGTCGTCATCGTCACAGTCATCGTCGGGGGTGCGCTCGTTTAGCGGGGACTGCCTTTTTTTCTCCCCGCAATACCGTGTATCGTTGCGGACGGCACTTTTTTTTGCCATTTACTTCCCTGGCAGGCCTTCGCGCTTCCCTTCTCGAGCCTTGTAACGACCTACGCGACCGACTCGATTCGTCTTTCTCGCTCGCACCACGTCATAATTCATATCCTAACTGCCACCTCTCTTCCTTCCCTCCGGCCGCCCGCTCGCCGGGGAGTTCCTCCATCCGTTCTGCCGGCTCCTTATCGCCCCCTGATGTCGCCTCCTCTCTCATAGTAGTCGTGCTCTTCGTCGTTTGCCCTCCCTCTCCTCTCTTCATCCTCCTTCCAGTCGTTGTGGACATCCATTATGCGAGCTAACGCTTCCACGGTCGGACTCCGTCGAAGACTTTGTCACTCCTTCTTCTACGATTTTTCTGGAACGCAAATGAGTTACGAAATAACTCGTTAATGATAATTTTTTAAATAAATTTAATTTTAATATATATATCTTCAATTGCAAATGCTATGCTATACAAGTTAATTAAAAATTGAAACTTGTAAAGAAGAATGCTACTAAGTTAAATTTCCCGATTTAGTTTACATTTAGAGAAAAAGTGATTGCTATTATTATAATTTAACTACAATTTGCAGACATTTTTGATATCAATATTTTTTGGTAGAATTATAAATATAATTATCGTATAATTATTATACTAACAATATAATAATAATAAATATAAAAATAGTTTCTACACTGTTGAATTCATCATGTTAAATTAAATCTAATTTAAGTTATTTTTAATCA